CTTTCCCGAGATTCTTTGGAGGTTCAAAATACAGCTCTCTATCGATCTTCAACCCTTGCAGAAAAGCGCCACGAACATCAGCCGCTGTCAGCTTCACGAGCCGTGATGAGGCCAAACTGCAAATGACCTCAACCAGCAAGGTTGAGCACGTTGGAGAGTCTCGACGTAGATTCTCATCAGACTCCTCTTGAAAACCTCTGCCAACAACTCTGCACTTCAACACAAGCTCTTCCTTTTCATTCTCATCTCTCTTTTCATCATCCTTCTTTGTCCATACCCCTCTGGAAGAGATCACCTTCTCCGGACTGTTCTTCCGCATCTGATTGCTTTCCTCAGGAGGCACAATGTCGATGGCATCAAAGCGTCGCCATGTCCCAATCTCCTTCTCTACCGCTTTCTGCATAGCTTCTTCGATCTCCTTGTCTGAGAATTGCTGAAGCTGGGGCTTCATCTTCTGAGGATTAAGCTCGGTGTGCTTATTCCTCTTGGTATAGGCGTCCATCCTTTCCGCTAGGAAAGCTACACACATCGTTTCCTTCTCTTCAGGTGTCACTTCAACTCCGCCTGATGAGTCCACCTCCTTGTCTTCTAATCTTCGCCTCATCACCTCTCGAATGGATTCAGGAACGTCATCCAACAGTAGGTCACGTTTCCTCTTGTGTTCTTCATCCATTAGGGAACTTGAAGGCACACTTGAAGGTTCTTCTTGAGGAACAGATTGTTCCTCAACTGTTGATCTTTGGTCTCCTCAAGCTTCTTCTTCCTCTTCTTTCTCTTCTTACTTGAGCTCTCATCAGGTTTCTTTTGTCTTCTAAGCCTCTTGATGTCTTCTAGATCATCATCTGCCGCTTCTGTTGTTTCCTCTGCTCCATCTTTCTTCCTTTTCTCATGCCGCTCAATCCTTCTCATCTCACGGACTTCACGGGATTCATCTCCACTGGACGCGCACTCATCTTGGTATGTCCGTGCTATCTCATCCTCATCCGCTGGATAGGTTTCTCTGCTGCACCATCACCATCTGGAGGTGAGTAGTCCCCCTCATTTGCAACATTCTCGTCATCATCAAGGTCAATAGGGTCTTGTGGCTTCGAAAGGTCTAGAAAACCTTGTTGTCCTCCTGGGCGTGAAGGCAAAGTATCATCATCTTCAAGCATCAACTCTTGCTCTTCAGCAATTGCCCTTCTAAAATTGTGCGGGTGTGCCCCACGATGGATGAGCCAGTAGCCTTGAAGATCTTTGCCAATGACCCGAGCCGGTCCATGCCACTGCTTGTACACTTTGTGTTTCAAGCCCTTCCTCTTGTACATCACGAGACTGTGCACGTCGAAGGGACCTGGTTGTTGGCGGGTCTGTGACAGCAATGCACGACGAAGCGATGCAGAATGGTTGGCTTTCACAAAGGCATGCTCACAATCCTGAAGAAGCTTCATCCTCCGCGCCATTGCAAAGTGATCTTCATTGTCAGCTATTGGAAGTCTCCTACCATCACTCATGATCTCCGGTAAATTGGGCTGGAAACCAAGGACACACTGAGCGGCCGAGAATCGTCGGAAGTTTGAAAGTCTGTTGATCGCTTGAGTGCATTGAATGACAGCTACTCTTGTCAATGTGGCACCTCGAATCTCGCTGTCATGCACCAGCTTCAACATCATTTCCTTCACCGTGAGAATTTTCCTCTCAACAATGCCGTGTGACCAGTGGGCATCTCGAGCTACAAGAATTTCTTCAATTCCGTAGCGATCCAGCAAATCACGGAAATCACCTCTCAACGATCCATCTTGGTCAACTTGCACTTTCTCCGGGCCACCAACCACTTCCATCCAATCCATCAGCGATTTTCTGCACTGTGAGGATTGTGGCTTCTTAGGTCTCCCAGGGCTGTCACCTGAACACAGGTAAGATGCCGCCATGTCAACCATCATCAAAAAGGAATGCATCACATCACCTTGATCAGGAATGGCAACACATTGGTTGAAGTGATTGTACTTGGGCACTGCAGCAATGGGTTTCGCAGGACTGCGTCTCTCTTTCTCGCATGTTGGACATGTGAACAGAGACGCTGCTTTGGTTGCCCGATCTGAGGCTCCTGACAGTTTCAGGTGTCTGCTGAAGTTCTCCTTGTAAAGTGAATGGGAGTATTGTCGATGCACCTTGGTGACCGCACTTCTCAAAAGAACCGGCACTTCCTCCCATGTTTGAAGTTCTTCCTCCTCACGTTGTCGGAACACCACATCTGAGCTTCTTTTGAGTGCATTGTGGAAAACATCAGCCTCCTCAAGATAGTACTTCACCTCACCACATTGTTCCTCTAGAAGTGTTTGTCGTTGAATTCCTTCCAATATGATCACTCCGAGCTGAGGTGCCCATTGTCCCAGCAATGAAGAGATGTTCTGCCCACCTTTCTGTCCTCTTCCTTGAACTTCGGCATGATCATGATCACCTGAACAGCGAACACTCAACAGTGAAGCCAACACCGGAGAGGATGTCACGAAGCGGGTTGGTTTCAGCGCAAAATCTCCATTCACATCTTTCAGATCACTCATGCACTGATCCATTCGCGCTGTGTAATGGGGAAGGTGCTCCAACATCTCCATCAAATGCTTCCAAGCCGGAGATGACAATGGATTCTCAAGCAAATAATGGCGACCTTCTGACACTTGCAATTCGCAGATTTCCTTCACAAATGCGAGATGAGCCAGTGCTAGTTCTTGTTGCGCTGTGCGGGTGTCATCATCCAGAAAGTTGCTAAGTGGTGTCCATGGGTCACAATTGAATCCCATAGTGATCAACTTTGGCTTCTCGACCTTGATCTCCTCAAGCACCATTCGACTGTCTTCTTCCTTCAGAAAATTGTCTCCCAGCAGCAAGTCCCGGGGACGTTACTGTCCTTCGCCAGCATTGTCACAACTCCACCGTCCTTTCCGCTGTACAGCTCTTTCACAAGCACCTTTCTCGCACGCTGCATGGATCCTTTGCGAAGCTCTTTCCAAAGTGCTCTTCCGTGTTCCTTTGCTTGTTCAGCCATCTGTTGAACCTTCTTTCCAACCTTGCCCTTCATGATCCTGATTGTCTCCACGTTGTAGTCCTTCGCTTTCAACTGATGGAATACCTCAACGGTCTCACCCGCCAGCTTGGTTTCTTTCTTCTTCTCACTGTTGTATCCAATGTCCAAAAGCCACTGACCACCCTTGCCATATTCCAATGTCACCTTCTCTGAACCAATGGATGTGAACTGAATGGTCGGTTTTGGCACTGCAGTGAGATCGATAACCGCACCAAGCTCTTTGAGTTGAGGAAGGCCCAACAACAACGGAACATCTGAGTTTGGAATTCTGTGCAATACTACACGTCCCTTTTGTCCAGCAATGTTGATGTCAATCATTGACTCCTTTCAGCACTTTGTTGGATGTCTGAAGGGTTGTCTCACTTCCAAACTTGCCAACGAATCTGTCCAGTGTTCGGTCACCTCCACATCCTATCAATGCTGCTGTGTCAACAACACACATCCCAGACGGCACGGTCTCCCGTCCGGCACCAGCCATGAATGTGAGGCTGTGTAGGACTGCCTCTAAATCGGAATCCAGTGGAGTCCATGGCAATGTGTCTTCCATCAACGATGATGGCCTCGGGGAATTCCTCCAAGCATGACATACTCAGGCATGTCAAGGCTTCATGGCATGAATTGAGCAGTTGTCCTGACGCTGAAGCGAGCATGGCGGCTGCCATTCCAGCCCTCTGTAGGAAACCGCCCTTGCGGCCCCCTTTCTTTCCTGAGCCTTTCTTGCCACCCTTTGAGCTCGATGAGGAACTTGTGCTCTTAGGACATGGTTTGTTCCCACGCCAATGCCCTTTTGTCCACAGTCATAGCACTGGGTTCGTGACTTGATCTGTTGCAACTTGTCTTGTAGCTGACCTGCATTGAATGTCATCTTGCCGTCCAATGCAATTGCTGTACGATTGTACGATTGTGGCCAACTGCACTGGGTTGATATCCCCTATTGACTTTGCCATCCCTGACAGCTCTTGCGGGCATACTCTGAGGCACCTTTACCCATCTTCTGAGCAGTCATGGCGAAGATGTCCAATTCCTCCAGAGACAGATCATCGACTGCCATCGCCTCCACGGCATGCTCCATCTCCTCAATATCGAACTTCATGTCTTCTTCCACTTCGTAGATCGGAACTCCTTCTTCTGCTGTCTCTTCCTCATAGTACCAGTCATCGACTGCATACACCTCATCTGTCTCCCAATCATAGCTCGACCACTCCTCTTCGATTGGGTAAGCCCATGTGCTTCGCTTGCCACCTGTATTGTAGCTGCCCTGTTGCTGTTGTCTCGACTTGAAGCCACCTTTCCAACCTTTGCTGCCGATGTCATCACCACGGTCCACAACAATCTTGTCCCAATCATACTCATTTCCTGCTTGTCCCAAAATGGCACGGTGCTGCGATGAACTCACACCAGCATTCCTCAACAGAAAGAAAGCTTGCAAGTCTGTCGACAACTTGGTGTGACCTTGAGTCAAACCTGTCAGCTTCTCATACTCGTTTTGTCGGCGGCTAATGTAGTCTTGGACGCTCTCGGATTGTCTTCTTCGCCCCTTCTCAAAGAAGTAATCTTCGAAGGTCTGAGTCTTGAGCAGTGGTGCGACCTTCTCACAAGCATTTCGAACAACCTTCACCACCAGTTGAACCGCTGCTCGTGGTCCTGCTGTCGTGCTTGGCTCGGCCTCGCTGAGCTGAAGGAGCTTCTGGGCAGCAATCTCCGGTTTCCTGTGACATAGGGTCGCACGAACTGTTGCTCGCGCGTGTAGGCTCAAGGCCAAAGTGTCCGGGGTTCGAGCCACGATGCACATAGTTGTGAGCGCATCATGTCCCGATCGGCTACACATGTGCTGGATGCATGGGAAATCTCATGGTGCAAACTGCTTGTCTTTACAATAGATAGATGTATACACACATCAATATAAGTGCGTACTGCTTGCGTCCATCCAAGAAGCTCTGAAAGAGTTCCACCAGGAACGCAGCACCAAGGGCTTTGTAGACATCTTCGCACATCTCCTGCGGATAAGATCTTGCAAGGGAAACGCTTGAACTTACATTTCTGAACTGCGTCGTCTTGCCCTTTTCTTTCACTGTGGCCTTACGGACGCCTTGTAGCTTTCTCCATGTGACCAAATTGAGCCCACTGCACTGCAGCTGAACCAGCCGTCCTCCCCCATCTGTTGATGCATCCTGCTGGTCCATGGTGCCCCCAGCAAGGGAAAGAAACCGCATCGGTCGAAACCAATTGCCTGGAGCTAATCGCCCAAAGGCCGCCACAGGCCAATTGCCCTGCTTGAGGGCAGGGGGTTTAAGGTAGCTGAAAGCTGGGGAACAACATGGAAACAAAATGAAAATCAAATGTTCGAGGCACCACTGGTGAAGTAGTGCATGTGTGCCACTGGGCAAAGCGTAGGTACCAATGTACCAGAGCTGAAACGGCGGTTAAAGGCCGCGAGACAAGTGTCGGTTTTGGAAACAATATCTTGCTACCATGGTTTTCTATTTTCAGTGCGGCATGTGTGTCTGTCCATGTGTGTTTGCGGATCAGATTTGCACCAATAACAGCGTGGGTAGGACTTTTGGGCCAGGGTGAAGTTGAGCCCCCTAGGGGAGGTCGCAAGGCATCCAAGTGTGAACACTGTGGTATCCTTGACGATTTCTTTCTAAAGCAAAGACAGCTCCAGCAATTTTAAGGCAAGACTAACCCACGCTGGACGATATGACAAGGTGCTTAGACCAAATGAATGGTCCAATGGGTTTCGTTCACGCTCCATACATTGTCCTGCCTTGAAGAATTTTGCCACATAGCTTGGCCCAAGGAAGACAAAGACTTCAGCAAGGAAGCCTTCGCCCAGCTCTTCGAAGAGCCGCGCATCAAACCCCTGGAACACAAGCTGGATGGTCTGAGACGGATCTGAACAATGATATAAGTTGGCTCGGGGTCCAGTTTTGTGGGTGCCATTGTCGTTACACCACAGCACACTCTCGTAGGGCTCGGCATCGCTTTAGCGTATTTCCTCCTTCCTCACCAATGATGCTTCATGTCACAGTTGAAATTTGGTAAAGGACCAGCTCAGCAGTTGCGTAAATCGCGAACAAGTGATCTTTTGGGACATACCTTCACGATTCTTTGGAGGAGGTGTGCGTAAAATATGTCACTGGTTCCATGTCAGCTGCAAGCCTGTTGTGTCTGTGCTCCTCACTTTCTCGATCCCGACCTTTAAGGCATTTCTATCAAGGTGTCTCCAACGACTTTGCCCACCTCGCCCAGGTCCCCCAAGAGGTGGCCGGCAAAGTTCGGACCCAACGCATCAAAAAGCTCCTTGCAAGACTTGCAGCGCAAGTGTGCAAGAAGGTTCTTTTGAGGATGTTCCAGCATGCCTAGCCTAGCATAGCCCTTAAGCCAACGTTTTCTGCCTATACTCAAGTTCAAGCCTGTTTTTACGACCCCATTGCCAGCCTATCGCTGTCTATGCGAGTTACTTGGCTTCCCAAGGCCAATCTGCTGATGAACTCAACTCCTCCCACCTAGTACTGGCTACTGTGGGGAAAAATGCAGTAGATGGATGGGGTGTGCAGCCAGCCAAACCCCTGCCACCTAGGGGCCTGCCAAGTGATTTTCTAAGGCTTGCAGGTGATTTGGTCCTCTTGACAATAGGAAAGCAAGTTTGAGGAGGAGTGTCTATTGTCTATTGGGCTCAAGGACATCCAGCTTGCACATTGCTTTGAGGTGTATTACCACACGTCGTCCTGCTCTTCTATGCAAACATCAGAAATACTATGAATGATAATGAAAGTCAGATCTGATCTAAACATGAGTGTCTGCTTGTCCTTTGTGATGCATGGCACCCTCCTCAGTGTCCGGAACCAGCTTCCAAAACCACCTGTGCCCTTCAATTATCTTCAAATATTGGAACACATGATACATGCGAAGACCTGTGTTTTGAAGGAGTGGGTAGGTGACTGGAAGGAAGCCCGAGGTCCCTAAGCACGTCTCACCTATGTTTATTATCTTTTCTGAGACACCCCAACCAATCCTTGCAGCACACATGCTGTCTTGCACTTTGTTGCTTGAAGCACGTTCAGCGTTTTTAGTCCCAGGCTAAAGGTGTCACAAACCATTTGAGGTCCAGGGAAGTCTGCATACATGCCAAGGTCTTGTTTTTGCTAATGGGCTTAAAACCGCGAAACTGATTTTTCATACAGTCCTTTGGGGGGCAAGAACACACGCACAAAAATATGGAAGATGGGGACACAGGGGGGGTTAGGGGGGGGGGGGGTGAGGGGTAAGTTCCCCAAAGTGGCAGTGAAGTACACTGGACCTGTTCGATAACACCAAGTAGGACCCTCTCTTGTGTGTCAAGTGTGCGAGCGGCGGCGAGCACACTTTTCTATGGCACGGAGTGCAGTATTGGGCTTCAAAGCCTTGAGCCAAATGAATTAAGCGGCAGCTGACTGAAGACAAGATATGTACAAGTAACTACGGACAACAGGTGCTACTCACGTATAGCGTAGACACGCCTAGCGGAGCCTAGGGCCCTACAAAACACAGGGGGGTTGGGTGGGGATGTTGTGTGCATTTCTATTGGGAAGCCACACACGCACACGCTGTGGAAGAGGGGTGGGGGGGTTTTGGGGGGGGGTTGGGTGGGGGGCTAAAGACGTTGGATGTTCAGTACATCATAGTGCATACTAACTTTGTATATGCGATGTTTGCTGACGGTATAAACCCAAACATCGTGAAGTTCCTTCGACAGTGGCAATGGCGCTTGCACCAGAATAAAGACGATCTTCTGACGAAGCTGGGTCAGAAGTTGTCCCACAGACTGTGATGATGATGCTGGAGGATGACAAACCGCGCCCTTTTTTCGCACGAAACCACAGTCTCGTAGCATTTCGATGTCAAAATCGCAACAAACCTTTCGCAACAATGCAAAACACAGTCACACACCGGACATTCGTCATCATTGACCACGTGATCTTCAACCGCACGCGCGGAAACGAGCCCGGCGGGTTGTTTTTGCTGGATCGAACCTGCACAGGTTTTGTCAGCCCGGTCGGTTGAAAAGTTGTCTTACCTTATCCAGCCGACACCCAACCTGCACAAGCTCGTGCCATAGATTTCAGAACCAAAAAGTGATTTGGCTTGTTCGAGCCTGCGCAGGCTCGTTCAAACACTCTGCTTTCTTTGTTCTTGACTCTCTGCGCTCCATTGAGCAAGGCAGGACAAGAAGGAAAAGTGTAGAGTTTAACGCAGGGCTGGGACTAGAGCAGTGAGTGCACTTTAAGTATATAGTCGAAACGATGCAGTAAAGAAAAAGCAGCAAGAACGAGCAGTGACAGATGCATGGAGCACAAAGCATACTGAAGCATAAAAATGAAGCTATGCTTTTGAGGTTTCTTGGTATGCTACGCTTTTGCACGACTGGCAAAGAACATCTGCTTTCGCATTTAAGACGCTTGGGCAAGCACAGACTACACTAATTTTTGGAGATATCTGGGGACGCGAGCCTTGTGTGGCAGAACACATGATGGCACTGTTTGGTGGAATATAAACAGAGCTATGGGGTACGGGGAATGGAGCATAATAGGACGAGTGCAGAGTGTGTACATGAAGTGTAGAGCACGGCTCAGTAGAGATGAGAAGGCATAGCGTGATCTACCTTCCTATACACTCCTAACCTTTGCTTCTTTAGTTCCATGCTCACATTCCTTCTTCCTCGTTCTGATGTCAAACTCTTTCAGATCTATTTTACTCTAAGAAAGACGCTAAAGTGTATGAAGTGTAGAGCATGGATCAAGAAATCAGGAATAGAATACAACATAGGTATTGAGCTGTGACAAAGGTTCAACAGAGTGCATCGAATCAAAAAGACAATGGAGTGGTTTGTTTCGAGTATCAGGAACAAAGCAGGGTCGAAATGATGTGATGCAAACGTTAGGATTCATGAGCTCTGATATCTCCAATATTTCCTCCGTTCTGCCCTTCCCTGACTCTAGTCAACCTTAACCCAAACTCCACCGTATTAGTTTCCCAAGAAGCTAAAGAAGGCTAAAAGTGCCGATTTGATATTCTGTACGTTACTACGTCTTTTCTGGCTGATCTATCTGAATCTATCTCTTCCCGATGCTTGGTGGAAACATGCTGACACACACTCAGATTGTTTCTACCACACTTTAGAATCTCATCTAGAGTGGACGAAGTCAGAATTGGGACCTGTGAATCTGATCTGACTCTGTTTTGCAATTTTGTCAATGTTGGTATATTTTTCTATAACCTCCTTCTTTACATGGCAGGGTAGGGCCAGGTGGGGTAGAGCGCATGCATTGGGGTGCTATGAAATACTGCAGGGCTGCAGGGGGCACGCACGGTCCAACCCCAGCCTGGACAAAAGTCTCGCCAAGTCCTCAACAAAGGAAGAAACGATCAGAATGATTCGGTCGTTCTGTATAGAATTCCCAAAAAGTTGTGTTGGAGTCGATAACCCCAACAAAACCTTGAAAAGTAGTTATACATCTGCCAGAAAGAAAACAAACGAAATTGAAAAGAACCAAATGAACAAATATGTGCTGCTCACATATCTCTGACAGGACACCATTGTAGAGACTTGCGGTGAAATCAGCACCAAAAGCCAAATGCACGTCCACAGTAAAAGCGCGGCCAGCAGTTCCAAAAAGGCGGGCTGTAAAGAGAGAGCCCAGTCCACCATAAAGAAGGACACCTGAAGCGCGTATGAGAATAATCAAACCAAACAAGAAGGGAATGTCACTCGAAACAAAGGTAGGATCCTAGAGCGCATGTAAAGGTGACATGTGTGTGAACATGGTCTAGTGTGATACCAGGCTCTATGCGCACCTTTTTGGGCTGCTGTGTTGTGTCATGACAAGTACCTGGGTCAACCCGACTTGAGCCAGACACCGGTAGGTCAGGCGCATACCGAGTCGGCTGGGTTCTTTGTTCAGTGACTGTGCTTAAGGTTCTCGTTGCTTAGATTCGCTTAAAGCTAGTTATCGACTTTGAGCTACAATTGATCTCCAAGGAGCCGGGTGAGAAGGTCCTACGAACTGCACGAAGGCGGCGGATGTCGCACTGCGTGTGCACAAGCTGCCAGACTGGGGCTGGCGCTTCAAGACCTTTCTTTCTACACTTTGGAGATTTGGTTTCACTCCTGAGTGCGCCAGCCGGACGCGGGCCAGCCGCTGCAACACACCGACAGCCGCCCCAACCCACGCGAGCCGCGGCGCCCCCAACCGCCGAAGGCAATGATTCCTTCCATCGCTTTCTCAAGAGCTTTCTCAACACTGAGCCCTTGGTCACGCCCATCGGCGATCCTATCTCTTGTATCTGCCCAAGTTAGCCTCGGGATGCCTTTCTGAAGCTGTTGGGGATACCATCTGAGATGTATCACAAGGCTGTTATTGGCTGGCACCTTCACGGTTGGCGCCACGATGGCCGAAGTGACACTCATCGCGTCCAGTACGATGCGTAGGTCTATTGGACCATGCGTCACCTGTCAAAATATTGCGAGCTTCGCTCTCGCTCAAGCTGTTCTTGATGCAGTTCATGCAGAGTGCCAGCCTGGTGAGGGTGGTGGCATCCACTGCAGCTGTTGAAGCGAACAGTTCTGATGCGAACGTGGATCTTGTGACACGGCGCTGTGATTTAGAAGCGCACTCAATCACATGGCACGCGAGATCCACTGAAGTACTCGCTCCTCTATAGAGTTGGCTAACATCTGACGCGATCATTTTTACGGCGATCATACCGCGAACACTAAGGCCTGAATCTGACTTTACTTGGAAGCCAGAGTCGCTATAGACCACTATAAGCTGGTTGGATATTCTATTTTACGGTAGACCAGCTTGCGAGGATTCTGTCTCATCCATCGCACAAGATGATTCAATCTCTTCACATGGATGGGTTGCGCAATATGGCTGATTCATTTGGAGTGCTGTCACATAGGCTGCAATGTTAATGCGGGTCGACAAGGCATATGCCACTGTCATGAGTAGACTTAGGAACTGCCTACGAACATCTTCTACTAAGTCCTCCTCCTTCGTGGGCACTGGTGTCACGTTTGATGTCTGCGGTGAAGGAGGTTTGGTCCAACGCGATGGCTTCTGCAGTCTGCTGGCGGCGGATGCCACAGAACGTGAAATTCACAAACTCTAGGTCGAGTTTTCCAAAGGCTTTGGTGAGATACTCCACTAGTTCTAGCGCGAGCCCTGCGATCTTAAAGATCGTATACGTGCTTCGGCAGCAGAAGGCATATCTCGCCGTTGGAATCAAGCAGGTGCTCGAGTTCACTATCCATCAGCGTGGATATACTGTGCGGTGGCCTTTCCCAACTTCATGCCCCAGGCACGTGAGGCATCCCTGCATCCTGCGCCTGGCTTTGTGCTCCTAAGCGCTTCCTTCGCGGGATTGAAGTTCTCGAAGCCTGGCAGTTGTCTTAGACAAAACACTGGCTGGCCACATAGTTCAAAGCTGACTTGACGTTCTGGACGTCCTGTCTCTTGCGCCAGCTTGGCACAAGTGACTTCCTGCAAGAAGGCCTTTGGAATATCAGTTGATCCTAAGGTCCAACCGACACGAGGAGCTCAGCCTGGTGGCTGTTGGTGACGTGTTCACGTCGTCATCTGCTCCTGTGTCTTTAAAGCCTCGAATGCATAGCCTAAGCTCTGATGAACCTCTTACCGCCTGTAACCTTCCATTTACATACCCACTTAACATCCATCAACTCATCTATCACATTATGAGCTTAATGCCTTGGCTGGCGCTCAGAGCATTGGTAACCTTGTCATACCTTTAGCTCATCAAGGATAGCTTGGACAAGTTCTGGTGCGTGGGTGATTTCTTTTTCTTTGGTGAGGAGATCATTGCTACGATCAATCACAGCTTTGTGGGTGTTGGTAGATACGCAGCTCAGCCTGGTCACGCGGACCTGGCAGCCTTGGCAAACCTTCGATGACCTTGCACATGTTGCCATAGGCTTCAAGGGCAACATACGAACCTCGTCGATGCTGGGGCTTGAGTCACGAAGTGCATCTTGAAGGCGGTCTGCGAAGGCTTCCTCAGCTAGGAAACTCTTCTGTGTTTCAGCTGCTACTTCATAAAATTTCTGGAACGTAACTGCCTGAAGGCTGGCGAGATTGGTCTTGGATGTCTCCAAGTCATGTAGCTCTTGGGCACTATGTTCATTAAAAATGCTGGTTCTTCAATGTTCGGATGGCAAGGGTCGGATGGCTTTGTTCTTGGACACCGAAGACTTGGCTCAACTCCTGCAAGCTCACCAGCGCTTCTTCTGAGCCTCCTTCATTGCTGCCTCCAGGGATGGTGCTCAGAGGACCCCAACACTCATGCTTCTTGTGGTGCGGTGTTGGATGTGAATTCGTTGGTGTCAGCATCCATGGCAACAACATCGGCGTGACCTCTGTGGCTTCCAATGAGCCACTCGGCACCTGCAGGCACTGGATGAACCGGATGTTCACCCTCTCACTTTCTGCAAGACCTGAGAACGAAACATTGGCACTTTGAAAAACTGCAACGCTCTGGTCTTCGAACACTGCAGGCTTGAGCCGGTTATGACACCCTTGCAGACTGCAAGCCCTGCCAGAATGTCACAACTGCATCGAACATAGTGCAACTGGCAAATGCGTTGGAAATGGATGGCGTGTTCATGGTGGACCTTGGCGAATGAGTGGAACTTGTGAGCTGTGACAGGTTTACCCCCTGTACGCAAGTGAGCGCAGCACAGCATTGGGTTGTAGTGGATGTGGTATCGCGCGCGGTCCAATGGATTGTCAGCGATCCGGAGTATTCGGCTGGAATCTGTTTGACCCCGAGACCACAGGCAGCGATGTTGAAAACATTCTTTGTTACACGCACGTTGGCAGCAAAGTGACCTTGGTGTTGTTTGGTGGTGTTGGACGCGCACCATTCACCCTTCTAATTGTGGACTTGGCCTACGGCGATGACAGCACCTTTCTTGAACTGGTCTATGGCTTCTTGAGCGATCTGCTGCGTGCGGTTGGAGTTCTTGTTGACGGTGGACTGACTGGCCCAGTATGGTAGGCACCTGCGGGCATCTTGGACGCGGCAGGCGATCACATTGTCTGCCCGTGTTGGGGTGTCAATTCTGCTGCGCTCTAGCCTGGTCAGGTCGACGACAGTCGCTGGGCCTCTCCATCCTGAGGACCCCTTTCTTGCCGGTGGGCAGAAGTACTCCACAGCTTCTCCTACCTTCAACTCAGGCTCTTCTCCAGACACCCTGGTCAGTGTATGCAGTGCGTGCTTCATGCGCTCTCAAGCTGTTCCTTAAGATTCTACGATTGCCTGAGCGGCAATTTCGCGCAAACGATGCGTATGGGCCGAGCTTGGCGCGCCGGCCGAATCATCTGGCACTGCTACATGCGTCAGGCATGATGAACATTGCCCAGCGTCGCCGTAGAAGGCGAGTAGCCGTTGACCTTCGTCAAGGCGTTCGTCGCATAGATTGCTTCAGAGAGGATCCTGGAGATTGGGATTCTTAACGCCTCTTCGATTATGCGCGATTGTATTTTGCGCTTTCAATGTGTCTCGGAAAACTTGTGGGCCCTCCGGTCCACAATGCGGGTGCGCTGGCCGACTGCAGCCTCACGCTTGGCGATGCCTCTGATCTCAATGTACACGCGGGCTTCGCCGTCCTTGAGGCCTTGTTCGCCATCAAAGATCAGAACCTGCATCCTCCAGTGCTGGGATTGGTTCTTCTGGCGCGTCACCTTATTGCCCTATAGGGCTCGTTCAACTAGCGGCACGTTGCGGAAAAGCTGTTGCTTGTCGGCCTTGCGGCCTCAGCGGCGGCTGCCGCGGCGTCGTTGGCCTTGCCCAGTTCGGAGGCCTTCAGCTTGTACGCGGGCTTTTCCTCCGCTGGGACTCTTGAAAGGGGATGCTTGCGTTCTCCACGGGTCCTGGCGCGCTGTACTTACTTCGAACTTTTGGAGCCACCACAGGCACCCTTTGCACTTCCTTCATGGGTTGTCTTCAAGAGGACCTCCCTTTGGATTGGAAGCGTCGGTGGCCACTGCGGGTGCTCCTTCTGTGCCTGCGAAGCAGTTCTGCCAGCTGGCACTTGGCGCTGCTGATGCCAGGACATGCTCGGCCTACGAATGGCTTCACCAGCTCTTAGTGAACTTACTACCGGCTGGGTGGACTCCTTGGCCGGGTAGCGACTTTGGGCCTACTTGGCATTGGTCAAAGACAAGTGACAGTGATCGTCGGTCACAAGCTACTGTTGGCCATGGTGTAACTTAAAAACAAGGTCGAACCTGTGGGCTGTTCCACTAGATAGTGGCGGTCGTCACTCAACTGGATCAGTGCGATCTCTCCACATGGCTTGGCGATGGGTTCAGCAACTCATTACAGATCGGCGCCAAGCATCTTGGTTGACGATTGCGTTCACGCGGCCAAGTGGAGAGTATATGGTGCACACACTGGGGCCATTACAACTACCAGTGGTCTAACCGTCTTAACAAAATCAAATACTTTTCTCACTGTAGATGGGTTGGTCAAATCTGTGCCTGCGATGACGTCGAAGTTGTGGCTGCTGCGCAATCGGCTTTTCACCACAAACCAACATGTCAAGCTGCGGCCACCACGTATCTCGACAATCTCAACTCCCCATGGCCCTCGTACGCCGTGGTGTTTGCTCTACATTTCATCTATGTCGCAGGCTCAGTAGGA